GAGGCAGCCACAGAGGACTTGGGGAGCCACAGGCTCAGCTGGAGAGAAGCCGGGAGGCCAGTGGGCGCTGGGTCAGGGCCCAGTAGATAGTGCAGACTCTGATGCTGGCTCTGAGGAGGGCGGGCCGGGGGTTTGGGCAGGGGCGGCACAGGCTGGCACAGGTTGAAAGGCTCACCAATTCCAGCCTCGGAGGGGAGAATATGCTGGGGGGCACCTGCAGAAAGCTGGAGGACAGTGGAGTAGGGCACACAGTGAAAGGACTGTCCCGGAAGACAAGCTCATGTTCTGGACAGGTTTGAAAATATTTCTTGACACAGCTTCCGATACTCCCCAAGCCTCACCGACAAGCCAAAGTGATCTGTTGTAGTTTCTGTGACTCCCATCTTGATGTCAGAAGAGGGGCCTGGGCAGGACATCCTTTAGCAGCCCTGGCTGTCCCCCTGCCCCGTCACCTCCTCTGAGCTCTGAGTTCATCCCCGTAGCGCAGGCACCCTCTCCACACAGGCCCAGCGGCACACAGAGGTGCCTGGCTGCTGCCCAGTGGGGGACGGGCCCAGGATCCAGAGCCAAGAAGGTGGCTGGCTTTCTCTGGCACCCTCTCCAGGGCCACCCATGGCGGGGCCATGAGGGGAGAGAACGGAGCAGGAGCTGTGGCTCTCCTCGCCAACCCACTTTGGTTCCCAAGGCTTCCAGGCCTGAGGGCTTCCTGAATACCCCCCGGAAGCAGCAGAGGTGACATAGGGCCTGAGCTGTAGGCACCAGGACCAGAAAGGTATAGCTGACTAGCCCTGGAAATTTTCAGCTTGGCAAGTATTAAACACCTTAGGGAGGATGTTCATTTTCCTGTGAGCATCTGGGCTAACATAAAAGGGGTATGTATCTGACACAACAACAACTTTTCCTGAAACAAGAAGGAAGCAGAGGGCAGAGAACAAATGAATGTCTATTTGAGCTCAGTTCTCACTGAGCTCATTGAACCCTATTATCAACTCCACTTTACAGTTAAAGAGCAAACTCAAAGGCTAAGTAAATGTCCCAAAGTCACCATATAACAATTTGAAAGTGTCATAATTTGAATCCTCGTCTACCTGGTTCTGTAGCCCAAACTCTGTCTACATCTGATCTTTATCAAAGCCTGTGCCCTGGTCAGAACACAGTTGGGGATTACTGCTGGGTTAATTCACAGAGAAGCCCCACACTTTGGGGAAGTGATGATTAAACATTCAGCAGCATAACAGGATCATATGGAAGGGCCTTAAGGGGACACCGGCAAAGGGTTTTTGCCAACTCAAAGTACCCCTTAGGCCCTGGAGGACTCGGGGGTGAGACAAGGATGAGAAGGGGGCTGTCCCCGTGCCCACAAGCTCTGTGGCCTCTCCACACGGTGGTTGTGGTGGGGATACAGGCCGGTGTGGTAAGCTTGGGTCCCGGCTGCAAGTCCAGAGCAGAAGTGATTCTGCGGCTGGCCGGGCACTGCCTGAGCCTTTGAGGATTTCTGAGCATTACAGTGACTTCGCCAAAGGGCAGGCCCTGGCCCTTCACATCCAAAACAGCTGTCTGGCAAGGTGATGAAACATCCTCTTAGCTGGAAGTCACAGAGACAGGGGTCAATAGATACACATGAAATCTTGTGTTGCGTGAACATAATGTGGAGTAAGCTGCCACCCAAAGAATGGGACTCAAGGTCCCTCTGCCTGCCAGGCCCTGAGCCCAGCACTCTGCTCTGCATGGCTCCCTTAGACCTTGACATCCCAAGGCAGGTGCCAGTGCCCTGACCCGGATGAGGAGGAGCTGTTGGCCAGACAAGGGTGAGGGTTTTGCTAGGGTTGTACATGGGACCCCAGCCACAAAGTCCTTGCACCAAGGCACGTGCCCCCCAAAGCCAGCCTTTCCTGTGCAGGTGGAGGGCAGAACACGTCCAGGCCTTGTGCAAGCTTGTGGGCACCAGCTGACAGGGCTTAGGGCCGCAGTGCTTCTCCCCTTAGTCTTTTTATTTGCACAGTCACAGCTTTTTGGAGCGTGACTTTAATAAGTCACAAAATGAGCTTTTTATAGCTGCTTTACAAAAAGTAATTATGCATCCTCTGCTTAAAGGAAGTAAGACTTTGGTTTTAGAATTACTTTAATTAATGTGATTTTAACAGGACTGTTCAAAAGCCAACACCAAAGGTAAAAATCTTGCTTTGATTCCCCTGCTTTATGCCTCTGAAACCCAATCAATCCATCCCATCACAAGGATGCTTTTTAAAGGTAAGTTAGCACCAGCCACAGATTTTAGAGACCCCTCTTTCCTTGCTGACTCCAGAATGGAACACATCAAACAACAAAACGTTCCCAGGAGAAGCCAAGCTGAACTGGGCCAGCGGCACCGAAGCACAGAGAAGCGTGTGGCTGCCCAAGCTGCACAGCAGCTGAGGCTGGCAGAGGATGCAGCACCCCAGGCACGGGACGAGTCCCATCAGTGTGTGGGAGGGCAGCCCCAGGCCAAGTGGTGCAGGTGCTGGGAAGCGTAAGCAGAGCAGGGGAGTCATGGCACATCACCCACGTGATTCGGAGGCTGGATTTGGGAATGTTTAGGGCTAAGAGGTGTGGGCAGAACAGGTGCATGGTAGGGGTGGCTGTGCCCCAGTCCAAGGTGGGAGATTGACTGTGGCGTTGGTTGTGAACGGGTATGTGAGCGTGGTGGGGGTGGTCCAGCGTGACTTTCACTGGGAATCATACCCACACGTCTGCAAGCTTCTACATTAACCTACAGGATTCAAGAAAAGGAAGTCCTTGGAAAACATCCTACAACACTGCATTCTTACATGGCCTCCTGCGGGAACAGCACCACGGTCTGTAACAGGAGACCCCAGACCCCTGCATCTCCACCTGAATGCCCCCTCTCCAGTGAGCCCACATGACCACGCCCCACCTCAGCAGTGGTCTCCTTCACCCCAGGGGTGGTCACGGTACCCCTGGAATATATCTAAAGTAAAAGCAATGCCAGCCACTAACGAGTCTGGGGAAGCCTAACAGAGCTCTACTAGTTCCCGGAGGACCACTTTAACGTTTCTTTGAAATACCCAACATGAAATTTTACCACTGAATATCTTGGAAGCCTTACTAAATGGTTAGTCTGCCCCTGGGTGACCAGTAGAGCTCAGGGTTCTCTGAAACTCTTTTGAACACTCATTCCTTGAAATGCTCTGGCCTGGCCCCTGTCTAGACTCAGGCTCCAGGAGGGCAGCTAGCCTTCCTGTGTCCCTGGGTACAGCACAGTTCCCAGCAGAGTTGGGGCCAGCTCACACTGCTGATAGGTGGGCAAATGCCCCTCTGTCCTCTTGTCCAGGGGCTCTGATCTCCACCTGGAGTTGAGTGTCCCAGGCAGAGGCTCGCAAAATGGAGCCAGCCGTGGCCATGGCTGCAAAGGAGGGCCTTTGCTCACACCGGGAGAGGTTGGAGCTCCAGATTCTGCAGCTCTCAGCTGAGAGGCTCTCCCGGCTCAGGGTGGGGAGGGCCTGTGTCTGTCCCTGGAGCTAGGGGTGCTCAGAGAATGCTAGAGCCACAACAGACCCTGTCTCCTGGGCCCACCTGACGCCGAGAGGGCACGGAGCCCTTGATCTTGGTCATGGGCGATGATACACGGCGTTGCAGGCCCCACGGCTTCCCCTGGGCTAGGCTCTCCAGTGTCCTCTGGGCTGCACAGGGAGCCAAGTGGGGTCCTGTCTGTCTGCCATTGCACTCCGGGCAACCTGCCACCCTAGGCCTCAGAGAGAGAGGGGCAGGGACGGAGAGTAGGAGAGAGGCCTGCATCTGCTCCTAGGAAGCTACGGCAGCCAGGTGATGATCGCAGCTAGCATCAGAACGCCTCGGTGGAAGGAAGGAAGGAAGGAAGAGTGGACTTCTGAACAAAGAACAGATTATTCACTGTCAGGCGGAGCAATGGAATGAGACATAAATAGCAGCCGTGCACAGGACATGCCAGTTTTGCTAAGAAATGGTGTGCGCAGTCCTCCAGCAGCCCTCCAGAGAGCGCAGCACCACAGCCAAGCTCTGCACAAAGCAGATGGGGAGAGAGAGACTGACAGACAGAGACAGAGACAAAGGGCAAGAATGGCCTCTCAGAGATGGACAGAACGTGGACTTTAAAGTCAGAGATTTCAGTTAGAATTGTAGCTCTATTATTTACGACTGTGTTGTATGTGTGTGCAATCGAGCTAGCAGGGGTGGAGGGAGGGAAGGAGGAGAGACCGGGAGCAGGCGGTCCACTGCTGGCCTTGGTGAGGGACACAGCTGTAGTGATGCTGAAACACGTGTGCAGACGACGGACCCTAGGTGACTGCCACCAGCTGAAGGCTCCACACTGCCCCCGCCACTCCCTGCCCAGGGATGTGAGGAGGGCCATCCACACAGCCTGGGACCTGGGGGTCTCGGCTCCAAAGGGAGCAGCAAGGCCTGAGGCCACCGCCTCTGTGCCCTGAATGCTTTACAATCCCTGAGGCCTGCGACGGGCGGCCCAAAGCTAGGCCCTTGGCAGCTGTTGTAGCTCCACGGGGAATGTTCTTAGCTTGCCGCCACCCCAGGTGCCTCTTGGCAAGACTGACCCAGCCGCTTCACACCTGTGTGCCTCCCTCCGGGGCCTAATGACCTTTCCCTAAGAGTGGAAGGGGCCTTTGTGGTGTTTCCCCAGTGAGTGCCCTTGCAGGGCGGTGAGTCCCGAAAGGGCTCCTTTCCTGGGTCCCAGAGTCATCACATGGATACCATGCCTCGGATGGTGGAGCACCCTGCTCCTGTGACCCACCAAGCACCCTGTAGCTCCTGTGGAGCCGTTTGCCCAGCTGTGGGCATCTCATTCCACCTAATAAAAACTCAGGGAGCGGAAACCCTGGCTCCCTCCCATTCTGAGACCCAGGGAGGTGGCAGCTCCAGGCAGGAGCCAGGCTTCCATGCAGGGAAGGTGGGGCCAGGCTCCTGGCTGGGAACTGCTCCTGTGGAAGGCGCACAGAGGCCCCTCTTACCTTGGTGAAGGTCAGACAGTCCTTGTCCTGGTCTCTGTCCTTCATCTCAAAATCATAAAGTGCTTTGCCCTGGGGCGGGGCCTGGGGCAGGGGCCGCACACACTGGATGTAGCTGGTGGGCAGGAGGCCGTGCGCACCCTGCAGCTCCCCACGGTACCAGCGCTCGTCCACCCTGCGCCGCAGGACGATGACATCCCCCTGGCTGAACTTGAGGTCGCCAGGCTCCCTCCCTTCGTAGCTGTGCAGGGCTTTGCCGTAGGGAAGCTGGGGAAGATCCTGGAAGCAAAATACAACATCTGGTTACTCGGTGAGGCCTTTCTGCTGCCACACTGCTTCCGGGGCTCCTAGTCCTGGGGGCACACACAGAGTGCCCTGGAGGGGAAGGATTTCCAAGGAACAGATGCCCATCACAGGAACATGAGGCCACAGCCCCGCCTGGACAAGGGGTCCCTACAGAGGTGACCCCCCCACAGACAGCACGGGTGCAGGCCAGGCCACTGCTCCAGACCTTCCACATGGACCAGCTCTCTCTGGGCTGGAGCTGAACTGTCTCTATTTACGGGTGAGGGACCCAGACTGTGAGAGAGAAGGCAGAGCCCCACCTGTCAGGGCAGGGGGAGGGAGCGGGGTGGCAGGGTAAGGCAGGGGCGGGCCTGAGCTGCGGGAGCCAGACGGAGAGGAGCAGGTGGGGTGGCCAGAGACCGGTCAGCAGATGCCGCTGGAACCCCCCAGAACTGGACCAAACCAGCACGGTCCAGTGGGACTGGGAATAGACTTCTAGCTTCACTCAAGTCTCGTTTACCTATAAAGACTCATGACCAACAATATCAAGAGTTTACAGTCATAATGCAACCCCAGTGAGGGACCTAATAAGGAGAAACTCCTGGGGTGAAACTGCAATATTCCTGAATCCTCGTCGGACCTTAGTGCACCTCCGTGCAATGGGTGTTTCCATGGGGTGGGCAGGGGTAGCCACCTCCTTATCAACAGGTGATGGCGTGGGCGAGCCAGGGCATCCGTAGACCGGAGAGGTCGGTGGGGCTCTTCCTCCCCAGCCGGGTCCCGAGGGATGCGGGGCGGCTGCTTGTAGGAAGTAAATGGGTTTCTCCCACTTTATTTCTCCCTTTGACTGATTGCGGTTTCAAAGGTACTTTACTCTGGAATTTGCTCCCTGGAGTTGCAGGCTCCTTTTCTGGGAATCTCCCCAGAGAAATCATGACGGTTCTGCCCCGGCCCTACACACTCCCACTTACAACCAGAGCTCGGATAGGCCACCGGGTGGCTCTACCTGTGCGGTAGCTGGCTTCGCATCATTGCATTCTATGCCTTCTTCACTGAGTAAATCTGCTTCATGCTGCATCTGCCTTTGATTTCGATCCTGGGAGCCACCAGGAACATCCCCTGCAGTGGAGGCCCAAGGGCTTGGCCTCCGGCTTCCTTCCTTGACCCAGGTGTCTGCCTCCAGAATGTTCTCACCCTCTGCTTCCTTGGTGCTATTTCTATCTGCCAGATTTCCAACGGTTATTATCCAACAAAATCTTCCTCATTTCATCACTAAACCTTCACAGCTACTCACAGAGGGGTTTTCAGGTTGGGGGACAGAACTGCACAGTTGTGTGTGCTCCTCAATCATGGCCTCACAACTGGGGGCAAAGGCCTGTAACATTCAGCCAGGTGCACAGTCTGGCCATGGGAGGTGGAGACCAGCCCAGGGTGGGTCCCCAGTGCCCTCGAAGTCCCTACAAGTGGTCCCTGGCTGTCACAGACCCCACAACCATGACACATATCTGTGGATGCATGTAACAGTTCAGCCTACAAGTACAATTTCAAGAGCATAATCTAATATTATCTTAACATCGTGGGAAATTCCTGTCATCCTGTCAGAAGTGGTCTGCCATCACTAACCCAGTGACTGGCCCTGAGACTCCAACAGAAGCACTGGCAGCCCTGCTTTGCAGTGTCAGGAGTCTACTGAGCTACCCCGATCCAACGTTATGGTATCTTTTTGGGTCCCTCTGATATCTCGGGTTTCTCTACAAAGACCAGTGGCCACCTGGGTTTCTCCTCTTCTGTATGGGTGGCCAACACCTACTCAACTGAGGAAGCTTTGCCAAAGGCCAAGTCTATGCCCAAGGAAGGCCATACAAAAACTCCATTGTACCTGTGTCTGCCATGCTCCTAACAGGAGCTACCTCTTCCCACAGGCTGCCTGTGCCAAGCATTTCTTTAGTATTCAAAACCATCAATAGAACCACGAAAGCCTGAAGCAGTAGTACATCGAAAGCCCCTTGTAAAGGACTCAATAGCATGTTGGCAACTCGATCATTATGCATTTATGTTTCTGCAATGTCAAATTACGGCAGTTAAGAGGGAACATGCTGGCAAACTGACAAACAGCCGCCACTAACCAATTAAATAGTAACACCAGAGGATTTTTTGTTGCAGAGCTCAATGAGAAAAAAATCAGTTTGCTTCCATTCACTCTTGTCCTGGCTAGCTTTGTACCAGCACAATAGGACCGTAACAGGCTCTGATTTTAGATGCCGAGGCAAAGGAGTAGGTGCAACCCCAGTCAGAAAAGAATGAGAGAGGCCATGGGCTGTGGGCCCCCAGAACTCCACTGCCACCCTGGGGCCCAGCAGCCCCAGGCCCAGGGACTCTCAGTCAGGGGACTTTGGAAATGCCTGAGGATGCTTTTGGTAGTCACAGCTGGGAGGTGGGGTGCTCTTGGCATCTAACGGGTAGAAGCCAGGGCTGCACCCTACATCCTCATGGCAGCCCACAATACAGAGCCGCGCCACCCGGAATGCAAACAGCACCCAGGTAGTGAAGCTGGCCACGGTCTGCCGGGTTGCATTTACAGAAAGACGGAGCAGCTCTCTTGCTTTATTTGAACTCAGTCTATCACAACTTTAGAAGTTGAATATGACACTTATTTTCCGGACCTGAGTATTTTCCCTGTGGACCACATAGCACAGCTGAGATCCTGTCAAGGTCAGAGGTGTTAGAGGGACAGGGAAGAACTCAGTTCTCCACTTGAGACTGGCCTCAGCTGGGTGCTCGACAGAGAGCATCACTTAGTCACGGACTCGTTTCCTGGCACCCCCAGACCAGGGGGGCAATGCTCAAGAGCAATTTCTAGGAGCTGTGGCTCTGTGCTCTGCTGCTCATCGTTGCATTGATCATTGATGAGGGCGAGCGGCCAACTCTGCACTTGGTCTGGGGCCCTGCCACCTGAGTGCACGCCCCACCCTCCCTGTGGGGAGGGGATGCTGGCACTCCCTCTCTGCCCTGCCATCACTAGCTTCACCAGCTTGGCTGACAGGGCCGCCTATAAGCACCACTCTCATGTGTGCCACGCAATCCTTGCCCGATGTGCGGTGTGGGCGGTTCCAGTGCAGAGGAGGGGAGTGAGGCCCTGCCCCCTGGGGCCTGCCGTGTGCAGCACTATGTTTTCCCACCTCCTCCATCTCACTGCTCTCCAGAAGGGGCCTGCCCACCATCTGGGCACCGTGGCCTCAGGCCTCCAGGCCAGCCAGCTCTACCTGCCTCTCTTTGTGTTTCCAAATTGCTTTCTGAGAAGTGAACCTGCTTCAGCTGAACGGCTTGCTGGACATCTCAGCTGCAGGTCCAGTGGCTCACTGGAGCCATCATCTTGTCTCTACGCCCTGCCCTCTGCTTCCTGGCCACGGGCACCCCAGCACCGCTCTGCAAGCAGCCTCAGTTACCACTGCTCCCACCTTTCCGTCAGCATCAGCCTGCACCCTCCCATCCCCCTGTCCCCACAGCTCCCAAGGAGAGACCACTGCACACTTTACTCCCACCGCTTCGCCCTCGTCTCTCCCACCTCCATGCACCCAGGGAGGCTGGATGCCCAGTACACTGCTTAGCTTCCAGTAGCTACCAACTACCCTTGGGAAGGGTCCCCAAGCTCCTTAGCATGGCATCAAGGATCCGCATGCTGGCCTCGGCACACTTCCAACCTCCTCCCTGACACCAGCGCGCAGCTATGGAGGGTGCAGTGCACTTACAGAGACCATGTGCTTCTGGAACCTCTGGATCCTTGCTTCTCCTCTGCCTTTCCCCTTCTCAGGCCCTGCAGCACCCCCGGTTGGACCCTCATCTGTCCTGGGAGCCTCTAATCCATCCAGGCCACTGCACTCACCCCATTAAACCAAGGCCCCAGAAAGCAGTGTTTGCCTGGCCACCCCAGCACCCAGGAGAGTCCTGCCACATGGTAGGAGTCTTGTGCATGCTGTCAGCTCAAGTGAGCTCAGGTTTCTCCTGTGATGGGGCCTCAGTTGGGATAGAGACCAGGAACATTAGAAATGACAGACAGATTTGATGTGGCAACCGCCCCAAACCAGCCTGCCTCACAGAGATCCAGGGACAGGGCACTGAGCCCAGCTCCACACAGAGGTGCGAAAGAGCAGGGGCTCTAGCATGAACACCTGGGATGGGGAGGGGCCAGAGCCCACCAGGAGCAGCAGACGCTGGGGCAGGGGGTGCCCATGGCCCCATGGGGGCCTGATCCCCGCTGGAGCACAGAAGGCCACTTGAAGGCTCTGACCACAGCCCGGAGGCTCTACCCCCACCTGGTCTGCTCTGCCAGCTGGCAGGAGGGCGGGGGTGAGAGGAAGCAGGGAAGAGAGGAGTGGGTCCTCACACTAACCCCCTCCCCAGAATGCCAAGATCAGCATCTCATAGAGCAAAACGTGGAGGCCGCAGACCTTTTTAGGATGCAGGACCCATTTCCAAAGGCAAATGATAAAGCCAGAGACATGCTGGGGGCAGAGGCAGCTGGAACCTGGTTCCTGCAGTTAGGAAATGCTCAGAAACGGGGACTCTCGGCACCTCCACATGGCTTTCAACTTCAAAGCCCTTTTTAAGATTAACTAATTAGCCCACGACAAGGGCCCAGAGGCAGCAAGGGAGAGCACCGCAAAACAAGCCTTCTTGTCCAGCCCAGGAAACAGCGGTGTCTCTACAGCCTCTTCGCCTCTGCCCCAGAGAGGCTCCTCACGTTCACGCGCAAGCTGTGCGTTCCCCCTGGGGTGCTGTGCCCCACCCGTGTACAGGCTCAGGCACTGAGGAAAAGGAATAAGGGAACGGAAAACATCTGGGATGCCTATGTGATAATTAACACTAGCTATCCCTGCAAGGCATTAATAATAATTAAAACTTATAAATGTCAATTTCATGGCTCATTACTCAGATGCAGCACACAAATCTTCACGTGGGCTTTATGTCCTACCCTGCAGAGAGTGGGTGCTCAC